CTCTTGCAATTTTTTCTAAAGAAACCGATGAAGTCGTGCAAATGAAATGGGGGAAGAGAAGATTTGTTGTTTTATTCAATTGTAAAACGGATTTAGTAAATACGTTTTAGACCTATTTAATTGTAAAACGTATTTATTAAATACGTTTTTAATTATTTTTTTTACAAAATTATTTCATTTAAAAACGTATAATAATTATACGTTTTTCAATATTTTTTTTTGTTAATTAAAAACGTAATTATATTATACGATTTAATTTTTTTTTAAATTAAATTTTATGAATTAAAAACGTATTTAATAAATCCGTTTTTTAAAACCTAAAAAATCAATCAATTTAGGGTTTTATAAAACGGATTTAATAAATCTGTTTTTCAAAATCCTAAAGTGATTGATTTTTGGGGTTTCGAAAAACGGATTTGTTAAATCCGTTTTATAATTATTAATTTTTATTCCATTCCTCTCTTTTTAGAAGGAAATAAATATTTTTTAAATTATTAAAAATTAACGTATAGTGAACATTCGTTTTTCTAATAAAATGTTATTACAAAAACGGATTCGGAAAATACGTCTTTTTCATTTTTTTCCACTCGTTTTTTTTTTATTATTTTTCTCCAATTTTTTTTTTTAAATAAATAAACTACCCATTTGTACAATTTAATAAATTAATAGAGCGGGTTCACGTATTATTGATTTGGCGCTATCAGACGAGGTTGCCTAATTCAGTTGTTTTTTCATTCCACTCAAAAGCCACAGCTCCACCCTCTTCGGCTTTACAGTCCCACGCCCAGACGAGAAATCCCTCCCCTCCCGATCGGTCGAGAACACCTTTTCTGGTGCTCTCTTATCAACGGTAAGGCTTCCCGATTCTTGATTATCTTTTCCGCAAATGCAGATGAATGTGCGAAATCCGATCTATATTCGTTCCGGTACAAATTAGGATGAGAAATAGGGTGAATTTTACGCACAAACAGTCTTAGGGAGAAATTACTCGTAATGTCGGAGCATGAACGTGAATTGATTGAGATCTGTTGGATCTATCAGATTAGTAACATTTTTTTGGAGAAAATAGAAATGGGACGAGGAAAGAATCTCACACGAACCGGGCAGATCGGTCTTGTATTGGACGGGATCGGTTTTATTTGAGGGTACTGGTTGGGAAAAATGCTAGTGATCGGGTGTGAAAAGTACGCATCTTTCTCTTGGTGTATGCTTAACCTCTGTTAAATCATCATATCACGCGCGAGTCTCAGATTTGATCGAAAATATGCATCTGGACGAGCTGCCCACAGAGATGTTTCTGCAAAAACTCCGTTCATCGCTCAAGAAATTGGCATTTTCTTGAAAATGTAGTTACAATCTGATTTGTCCAACCTTCTATGGTTGAACTAGTTTTAATTGAAATGAAAATTTCCAAGCTCTCCTTGTGACTAATTATGTTTTTGTATGCTTTATTGTGGGCATCCAAAGTCCGGAATGTTGAAGATACAAATTAACCATCTCTTTGTGTGTGGACTGTGTGTGGTGTTATTGATTCAATAGGCATTACAATTTGGATTCTTAGATCCTATTTTCTCTTGAAATATTATTTTTATTGCATATTATTTGTACTATCTGTAGATAGTTATCTGGAATATTATTTTAGCTTTTGCCTTTTATCTTTTATATTTGACATTAGTAAAGATATCCTAAAAGGCTAAATCATATGCGATCACCTTGACCCAATTAATTTGACTAATTTGGTCTGGAGCTAACAGTATGGACCGAACTGTTACTTCCTTCTTTACATGTTTATTTTCAAAGAGTAGTTTTTTGTTGAGATCTGGTTGATATAATCCATGGTCTTGTCTTGATTTGAAGGGAGAAGTAACAATCAAGAAGAGCTGGAGCCAGTACAGGACACACAGTCATTGAAGCCCGGAGGAGGGAACGGCCAAATTCGATACAGATCTCCATCAGCTGCCGAACTCTTAGATGCACAGCAGCAAGTTCAGATGGAGAAGACTTTGAAGCGAAACAGGCATCAAGAATCCATGTCCGACAAGATCCTTAGATGGCGTGGTCCCATACTATTGGTTTTGGTTCCTCTCCTACTTATCTCCTTCGTGCTCTTTCTCATGCCGACAAGGTCCAATACGGATTCTGTCTCCCGGAAGTTCTCTCCCAACTTCATGTCTAAGCGTTATGCGGTCATCTTTGATGCTGGGAGCTCTGGGAGTAGGGTACATGTCTTCTGCTTCAACCAGCAGCTTGATCTTGTTCCCATGGGCCAAGATCTCGAGCTCTTTCTACAGGTAAATTTTGATGGTGATCCGTTCTCTCTCTATCCGTCTGTGTGTGTAGATTTTGCATTCCTTTCTACCATTATGTGCATTTACTTTTTAGTCGCCCCTGAATTTAGTGGAAAACCCGAAAATGATTGGATCCAGGCTTATCCTTGGGATCTTTGAAATTATCTATCTCTTGCATATCAGTGTAATAATAAATTGTACCAAGAATATTTCAGTTTTTTTGGTTAGGAGCAACTTATATGCGACTGGTGGGTGGTGTACAATGATGAGTGGAAAATAGAAAGCGATTACGAGAATTGGCATTTTTTTGAATCTTTGCTATGGAGAAACTATATTCTTAAAATGGCCTTCTGGATTTTTTTAACGTTTCGGAGGCTTAATTGTTTTTAGCTCTATCTAATTCCATAAACGTAACCATATTTGGAGACAAACAATGCAGTTGAGGATATACTTAGAAAGGAGATGGATAGGGATGTTGATCCAAACTATTATCAAACAACACTAATAACCACACATGGGCTTGAAAATTGTCATTTTATTACACTAAACAGGACTTTAATTTCTGTCAATCAAACTGTAATATATATTTGTAAAAGCAAATAGTGTTAATGAACATCTCAGAGTCCATCTTTTCTCAATGAGTCTCTGTCTCTCTTCATATATACATATATATATGTATAAATACCTTTATGTTCATATCTGTGTTTGTTGCCCTGTTTCGACTTTACATTGATATATCTGTGTCTTTTTATTCATTTGGTTTAACTTTCACCTTGTAGAGAAAACCAGGTCTGAGTGGATATGCAACAGATCCCGAGGCAGCTGCAAATTCACTATCAGAGCTTCTTGAGAAAGCAGAAGCAGCAGTTCCTGTGGAGCTGAGGTCCAGCACACCAGTCAGAGTTGGGGTAGGGGATTTTAGTCATTTTACCACAAGTGGCTGTGAAATTCTGTTATTTGTTTGCATCTGCTAAAATTAAATGACACTGCTGATGTTCATGCAGGCTACTGCAGGTCTACGACAATTGGAAGGAGATACATCGGACAGGATTTTACAAGCAGTAATGCTCCAAAAGTTCATACACCATTTTATTCTTTTTCCTTTTTCCAAAATCACTGTAGTGTTACACCTCTAATCTCTTTCATAGGTGAGGGACTTTTTGAAGAATAAAAGCTCTCTTAAGTCCAAGGCGGAGTGGGTAACTGTTTTGGATGGAACTCAGGAAGGCGCTTATCAATGGGTATGCTAGTATATACTTCTCCATGTTCCTCGCATGTACTGATGATTTTTATGTGTTTTCAATATATAAAAATTTCAATTGTTAGTCTAGGTTGATCTCGAAATGATAAATCTGGTTTACAACAAGGATTTACTGTATGTCCAAGAACTCATACATAATGAGTGCATAAGACAGTCATTAATATTTAACTTATTTGTGATCGCGTATACTAAGAGTAGATCCTGGAGCCAAAAAAGAAATGGAAACTGTTGCCTTTTTTAGTAGCCCATTACTCCAATTAGCTTATATTTCACATTAGAAATTTAGATGTAATGCAATAAGTGGTTTTAAGAATTGTAGCTCACTAAAACCATCAAATATTCTTTATACTGTCGTACATTAGACATTAAAGTCTATTCAGGTGTGGCAGTCTCCCTTGCCCAAACCAGCTAACCCGGAGTTGCAAAATTAGTACGTATAGACTATGGATAGATATTAAGGTAACACGGTTGCCTGATGCCATCATTGCATAATAATATTGCTGAATTAATTCTAATTTGTTTTTTCTCATCTTCTTGCCAGAATTTGGCTAAGAACTAATTCAGATATTGAGATGTCTTTATAGGTGACCATTAACTATCTATTGGGAAATTTGGGCAAACAATACTCTGATACTGTTGGAGTGGTTGATCTTGGGGGTGGTTCTGTACAAATGGCGTATGCTATCTCGGAGTCAGATGCTGCAAAAGCTCCAAAGTTATCTAGTGGCGAAGATTCATATGTGCACGAAATGTATCTCAAAGGAAGGAAATATTATCTCTATGTTCACAGGTATGATATCCTAGGTGTTGATACATATCAATTTCATACATGCTGTTCATTCTGAATGTTATAAAATGCACGCTGTTGTATTATCTCAGTTTTTCTTACATAATAATACCAAATGTAATGGCAATGTCTTTTTTTTTCCTCTTGTTCCTATTTGGCTTATTTTGGAATGTTTTTGTTTTTCCTCAATCATTAATCTTTTATTTTTGCTCTATCTTTTGTTATAATGAGAAGCCTGTAGTATTATAAATCGATATTATATTTCGTATTATTTTCTGATCTGCTGTCTATGCTCCATACTCCCAGTTACCTGCGCTATGGTTTACTGGCTGCTCGAGCAGAGATTTTGAAGGTTGATGAAGAACATGGCAATCCGTGTATATTGGGGGGTTATGAAGGTGTGTACAAGCTTCTTTTGTTGAGTGCTGCTTTATTTTCTCAATATTCTACCCCTTTCTCCCTTCTTGCTTTTCCTTTGACTCTGCATATCCAGTGAATTTATGTTCTCCTAAGAAGTGATGGATGAAAATGCAGCAGTTGCAAGGTAATGGGATCAGATTTGTGTGTGAATTGAGTAGAAAATACCATGCAGCCAATGGGGTTCATGGTCTTGTTAAAAAATGGGAGTGGATAGTACAACGCATCCAACGGTGTTGTTTAAGTGCTTGAATCCATTTCTTGCTTTTGTATAAATATATGAATATCTACTGATTGGTTAAAAGTGAAGTTGTCGCCCAATCATATCAATGGCATGTGTCCTAGACTAAGATGTTTTAATATGCATGCTACTTTTTGACCAGAACGTTATATAATAGGCATCTTGTCCGGTTTACGGCTACATCTAGTACCTGACCGATAAGTATGAGCTATTAGCTTTCCAAAGAGAAAGAAATAGAGATAGAAATTGTAACCCAAGTTCATATTACCCTGTCAGACTCATTTTTCTTTCTTTCTTGCTTTCCCTCTTTTTGTAGTTGAATGAAGGAAGCTACTATGCATGTTCTTTTATTTACTTTATAAGAGAAAATATTTCATATGCAAATCTTAAGGCCTTCAAATATATCCAGGACAATTTGATAATGCAAACTCAATCGCTATGGTGACCTTTTCATTTATTGTCTTGTCATATACAAAAATACAAAACCATTTGGTAAATACTGATTGAGGTTTATGTGCCAAATTCTTTACAAAAGAATAATAAGCTGATGAGAAGTATAAGACAATAAAACAAAATATGGAAAAAGAGATCATATCATATTCACCAGCATTCTATTTTCACTGAAGTCTGATACATTTATTTTATATAGGTTCTTACAAATATGGCCAAGGGGTATACAAGGCCTCAGCTTTGCCATCAGGTTCCAGCCTTAGCAAGTGTCGGGAAACAGCTATCAAGGCTTTGAAAGTCAATGAATCATTATGCACCCACATGAAATGCACGTTCGGGGGTGTGTGGAATGGTGGTGGAGGGGATGGCCAAAAGAATTTGTTTGTTGCTTCATTCTTTTTCGATAGAGCTGCTGAGGTAAATTTTTACCTTTTCTAATAAGATCCTTGAAAACGTTTAATCTATCACCTTTACTGGTGGCAACCCATCTTGTTAACCTAACACTTGTCATTTTAATAATACAATACACTATAGGCTGGCTTTATTGATCCAAGCTTGGCTGTTGCAAAAGTTCATCCAGCCGATTTTGAGGATGCAGCTAAACGTGCTTGTGAGACAAGTTTGGATGGTGCTAAGTCTATCTACCATAAAGTTGAACCAGATAACTTGCCTTACCTGTGCATGGACCTCGTTTACCAATTTACATTGCTCGTTGATGGCTTTGGTGAGTAGCTAGCTGCTGCTGCATTCAGTTACAATACTTTTTTTTTATTATTATTTTTTATTTATTTATTTATTTGTTTTTATTATTTTTTTTTAAGGAATGGTGTTGATGACCATTTACTATTGTAATGCTTGTTTGGCAGGGCTTGATCCGTGGCAAGAGATTACATTGGTGAAACAAGTTAAATACCAAAATTCTTTAGTTGAAGCTGCTTGGCCGTTGGGCAGTGCCATTGAGGCTGTCTCATAATCCGCAATCTAACTATCATTTATTGTGGTTAGTGTATGCTATTGATTGATTTTGAATGCACCTTGGAATTGACTTCGGTTATACGAATTCTTTTTGGAACAACATCTATCTAGCGTCTGTTTTACTTCTGATCGAATAAATATCCATGAGATATATAGCACCCTAAGTTGCACTGCCTGTGAGCTTTAGTTCCTTTTCTTTAATCAAGAAAGCAGATCTTTTTTTTTTTTTTTTNGAAAAAAAAAAAGAAACTTTAATTATTTGTTAAAAAGAAAAGAATGTTTCTACTGCTGCCTTGGCCATCTCGGGCAAATTGTGATGCTGTGATTAATTTACTTTTTCATATAAGTTGGGAGTCATGAAATTTGGATTCGAATTATTTTCTTGATACGGAAATGTAACACATGTAATTCTCTTATTCTAGTGTATAATATATATAGCTGAATAAGTCATGAAGGGCCGACTTTCCTAAAGTTAGAACGGTAGTATATTTTTAGTCTCAAATCGTCTTTTGTGAACTAAGAGCTCATTTGTTAAAGTAGATGAGATTGGATAACAATTATCCTGGGCTTCAAGATTGTCCTGGGCTTCAAGATTGTCTTGTAGAGATGAGAGTGAAACATTTGTTTGTTGGGCATTACTGCAAAACATGAGATTATTGAAATATATTGTGGTGTCCATTTGTTACATAGGATTGATGATAAGATTAATGTTTCATTTACTTAATTACCCTTCCAGTGACTTTTGTTTATTTATGCATGTTTGCATGCAAGTGTTGGTGTTATGTGACAATTTCAGGACGAAATGAACAGTACACTATCATCCTTTATATATACATATATATATATATATATATATTAACAACATTATTTTGTTTTATGGCTGAAAACACTCAAAAGGATTGCAACCTGCTCATTGATTTGTGCATTTCGGGTACCTTCCAAGTTGCCTACATGTTCTAATAAATAACACAAACGGCCAAATGCATTTCGATCCATACGAAGTTGTTCAACACAAGTTTTATCGCTAATGCATATTAGCTTTTTCGTGTGGTCTACTTGCTTTGGCAATCTATTTGACATACTAAATGAAGCCGGTGAATCGTCATTGCCTCTCCTTTGCAATTGATTCATTTGGCCCAAAAGTTTATAGCAAACGAAATCGAGCAAGAACATATGATTGAGCATATTAATTATTTACTCAATTACCAATATAACTTCAATGTCCATGTTTACCAAAACCAATCTAACACAAAGCATTCGTTACACGAGTTAATTAAATTGGATCCTGTTTTTTT